TTTCAAAATTTTCATTGCTCTGTTATCAATTCAGATTAATCTTTTAGCAAATAAGCGTATGTAATCATTTTCATTATTAAATTGAATAAGGATGTGTCTTCCATCTAAATGTCCAATTTTTCACTTCCCAACAAGATGCATAAGCTCAAACTACTTACGAATAAACTCCATTTTGGGATGACCATAAAAGAATTTCCCGATCAAATTTAGACGACAGGAGGAAGCAAGTTGATTACATTCTTCTTCCGTAAAAAAAAATGGCTGACTTCTCATTCTTTCTATCAGGTTTCTTGATGTCCTCCGCCAACACAAACGAGAGAAGAAATGAGCACGATTTAGGAGTATCTAAGGTGTGGACATCCGTAAGGGCATCATCATACGTTTTGTCCGAAGCCATTACCAATAGAAGGAGACGCTACGCTAAGAACAATGAAGTTGTAGTGAAAGAAAGCAAAAGCCGAAGGAGGATTGGCGGAAACTCCTTCAAAGTCGAGCAGAGGAAGAAGTCGGAGGAGGAAGGATGACAAGCAAGAAACAACTGTACTCGCCTTGTAACAGTGGCGTGTCGAAGGAGGAAGGATGGCGTGCGAGAAACAACCACACCTGCCTCGTAACATTGACTTGAGTCTTATGGCTACAGGAAAAGGAGGAAGACGACGAAGCCGAATTTGAAGGAATCAAAACCCCTTTGTTGTCGGACACGATGAAACAAGTGACGCGTGAAAAATCAAGGAAGTTGGGAATCGCCATCTGGCGAAACCCTAACAGAGCTGCTCGCCGACGCCATTCGACACACACACACACAAATATATATATATATATAGAAAGCCCAAAGACTAATATATTAAATAGAAAGTAGGATACAGAGAGATTGTGTGGGAGGGCCCAAACATGACACCCCGCCCACACAATAACCACCATATCAAATGGTTCCAAAAAGAGAAAATACAGAAATATACATGAGAGACCTAAAGAAAATACAAAAAAATGTCAAAATATGAAGTATCAGGTAGCGAGAGAGCGACCTAATTTTGCCTTGCCTCTACCTCTAATTCTAGGGAAGGAGCCAGCTAATGAATTGGTAAGATGAGTCTTATTGCCGGTAGTAACCAATGTATCATCCAATAAATTCTCGAGCTCTAATCGGCCCCCATTCTTCTTCTTCCTCCTGGAATAGACCTGTCATTTCTCATCTGAAGATTGACTCACCTGATCATTGGGTTGGTCTAAAGTGTGTCGAACGGATATTTGAGTAAAAATTTTGTGTCGGTTGTTGAACATTAAAAACAACTACTTGTTATACCAACTGATCTTTTATCAGATCAAAAGAGCACTTTCGTGTGTTGACAAGTGGGTATTCTTCAATAATAGTGAGTGATATAAACACATTTAGATCTGTACCTGTAGTATGATGTTCTTCTTCTGGAACTGCGGTGTTGCAAAAAGGATCGGGTTATACCTTCTCAGCAGGGATGATAGGTGGCTGAACTTTAGGATGCAAACGATAGCAAATAGTAGAATTGTGACTAAACATACTACAATGAGAGCAATAAGGAGGGCGTGATTCTATTTCAACCTTTTGCCAATACCCGTTGTGAGTGGTGTCAATCCATACCTCATCCGGAGCTGGTTGAGTGTTATCTCTCAACCAACACACAAGCCACAAATGATCTGGTGACAACGAGCGTAAGACTATCAACCTTGAGAGACTTACCGTAAGCAGTTGCTAAAGAGTAGAGAATTTTCAGGTTAAACAGATATAATTTTAACCCCAAAAACTTTATCCAAACAGGAATGATAGGGGACTCCACTTTCGGATCAAAATCGACAGTCCACTTTAGAATTTTCATAAAAAAGGTTGTCGATCTTGATAACTTTTCGAGAAAAAATGCGAGTGTAATTAACATCGTGAGATAACTGAATAAGTATATGTCGACCATCAAGTAAGCTAATATTTCAACTGCCCAATAACTTCATAACATCAAACTCTTTTCGAATGATCTCCAATTTTGGGCGACCATAAAGGAATTTCCCCACTAGAGCAAAACGCCAAGAGGATGCGATTATACTGGTTTGAACCTCAATGAGAATAAGAGCAGTTTTCCCATTTTTTTTGCCAAGCTTTTAATGAAAGTGTGATCACCACCACCTTCAAAATCGTTGTGGAAATATTGAGGAACATTGTAGGACTTGCCAATATGAAAATCAGGCTCTGAACTTGAAAGAGGAGCACGAGTAGGAATAAACCGACAAGTGCATTGGCATAGGAACGCTTCGTCGATGCCATCTTCAGAACCACTTGTTCAGAATAGTGTTCATCTTGCTCGTAAATGTATTAGGAGCATTAGATAGGCTAAAGGACAAAACTAACCACTTGTTCAGAATAGTGTTCATTTGGCTTGTAAATGTATTAGGAGCCCTTGTTCAGAATAGTGTTCATTTGGCTTGTAAATGTATTAGGAGCATTAGATAGGCTAAAGGACAAAACTAACCACTTGTAGGTATATCCCCTAATCCTAATTTGGTAATATCCACTTTTGTGACTTGGCTTTTCCCAGGAGATTGGCACATATTAGGTGAGTTAGTGTTTAATTGTTAAATCTCTAATTTAGCTGTCAAACGCATGATATGGTTGGGCTTTTGGCTAGAATTTGACAAAGTTTGAGGCTCCTCGATGTCTAACAATTGAGTCTAGTTTGGCTTACTATTTGTAAGCATGTGATTGACCAACATGTCTAAGATTGGCCAATGTGGGGCTCTTTAGGGTTGATATTTTTGGGTACATGGTGTATTCTGACTTAATGTTTTAGTGGGAGCACACATCAGATTGTGATTGGGCAATCAATTTCATTGGCCTCTTAATTAATATAAATTTATTTTGTTCAAGTGAGCCAACACATGTAGTTGGTGAGGTAGCTTTTTGTTAGCTAATTGTTGTGGGTTTAAGCAAATAACTTGATGTGAAGGGAAAATATTTGCTACGTCTGTAACCTACACATAGGTTACAGTGAGGGTATTGGGGGGTTATAACCGCGTTATACCCCTTGTAATCTCCATGTAACCTACAAATATATGAAAGTAGAAGCGCGAAACTTACTAGAAGGTACAAGTAGGTTACATGGATGTTACAGGTAGTATAACGCGGTTATAACCTTCCAATACCCTCCCTGTAACCTATTTGTAGGTTACTGACGTACGCAGCTATGCGTACGTCTTACGTATGCAAATTTTTTCCGATGTGAAGAGTCTCCATGGAGTTTGGCCATACATAGTTCCCCTCTGTTCTATATTTAAATTTAATGGTGGGAGGTAATCAAGACAATTAGATCTAAATTCAATTTCCGAGGATTTGGTTTCCAATCAAATCTTAGATCAATGCTCTAGACTCATATTACTTTTTTTGGTTAATTGAAGTCTCAAGGCTTATTTAGAAAGAGTGTTGCCTATATGCAAAATTTCAGTATTCTGTGTCAATTGTTTCTTCTTTTGAAGAGGATACGAGAATTTTTTGTGTGAAAGGAGCTTATGTATGCCATGGGAAGTGTGCATGTGGCCAGATCTTGTGACAACTGTGGATGATTCAAGTAATTTAATTTTGAAGAAGGCTGAATAATGTTAGGATATGAGGGAGAAAATGGGATGTGATTGTTGTAGAGAAGGTAAGGGCAGTGCTATTCTCGGATGTAATTGGTATTGGGGGAAGGTGCATGTGATGTAAATAAACTGTTCGGGCCAGGTTGAGCTCCCTTTTCCTTTTTTTTTTAAAATAAATACTTCACAATAAATCATATTTAAGAAAATTTGGCAAGGTTAATTGCGCCTTTGCTTAATTAAACAAATTTATTTGAGCTCAAATTTGAGTTTTAAGGTTTAATTATTTTTATCAAGTGATGAATTGATTAGGTTAAAATTGATTGAACCTAAATTTTCTAAGTAACTTTTATGTGCAGGTGCTTTTTTTTCTACATGTTTTAGTCCTCAATAGTACTTGGAAATGGGGCGGACTAAACACTAATTGCGGTGTTTCATGCTTAAATCTCCTGCAGAAAATGAAATGTGTGCACTTGTTTGAAAGTCTAATCGAGATTGTCGTCCTATTTTGTCTTATCAAACTATTTTGTTATCTGTAGTGAATCTTGCATGATATTCTTTCTGCTTACTGGTTATAATTTTATTTTTGCTGTCCTTCAAACGATTAATATCTTGTGACTTTCCATCTCTTCTCTTTTCCACACTTTATAGTGACTTTATTTATTGAAGTAGATGCTATGTAAGAGCAAAAATTGCTTGATAATGCAACCGAATAATGAACTTACCAATGTATCTTTACCCCTCCATTTGCTAATCTAAAACAAAAGCTGTCTGCAAGGCTTATCTCACGGACTCATGCTGCCTTTTTATTTATTTATTTATTTTTAAATGTATCGAGCAACGATCCTCCTTTGTCTGGTCCTTTTGTTTTGGTGTTATTTTTTTCATTTATGTAGGCAACTGATATCCTTATATTCTTTTTCTTAATTTTTTCGTATCGACATTGCTACCAAAAGATGGCATTTTTTATTTAAATTTTTCGTAATAAGTTTTGATGTGCTTTCTGATTAAGTGGTTATGACTACTATTACTAATTTAATTTGTTACTACTAACTGTCATTTGTGTGAATAGTTTCTAAGATTTTGATCAAATTTATTGAAGCTGTGAACTTCAAGAGAATGATATTTTAATGAATTTTTTCGTGCAAGGCTACTTATTCTCTTGATTGTTCTTTATAATGAATATTCTGTTATCAGTTGTTTTTCTATTTGTTTTTTTTTCTCCTATACAGAAGAGTTGCATTTCCATTATATTGCTAGGGATGGTATTTCCAACACTTTGTTTTTGGATGATTTTAAAAAAAGTTTGAGCTTTAATATCAGCTGATTTTCTTGTTTTTTTCTAAACGCTGGTAGAATGGCACTGCTACGTTGTTCTCTCATTCCTTCTTACTTCAAGTTTGCTCCAGGCTCTTTCAAATCCTATACTAACAGCCGTTGGTGAACGATATTACAAAGTTGCTGCAGAGGCTTTACGAGTTTGTGGAGAACTAGTTCATGTTCTTCGTCCAACTTTTGAGGTGATTGAAATGCTAATATAAATATTCACTGCTATATCGCGTTATTCAGCACTGAGATTAATTATGAAATGCAGAATTGTGCTTTTGACTTCAAACCTTATGTCAATATGATCTATAAAGCCATTTTGGCTCGCTTGGCTAATCAGGATCAGGATCAGGTAAGTGATTGGGCTTGACGTTGAATATATTTATATAGTTTCCAAAGGAGTTCATAACACAAATCTTAGCAGGAAGTCAAAGAGTGTGCTATATCTTGCATGAGCCTTGTGATTTCAACTTTTGGTGATAATCTACAACGGGAATTGCCTGCATGCCTTCCTATATTGGTTGATCGAATGGGAAATGAAATAACCCGTCTTACTGCAGTGAAGGTTTGACTTAAAGTTTTTTTACTATAGAATTCTTAGTTTTCTATTAGAAGCCATTTGGCTCTTTATTGCTTGGCTATCTCTATCATAGGCACATCATCCATTATTACAAAACTGCAATTCCAGTATTTCATTGTAAATTTATGTTCTCAATTTGCTGAAAATTTGTTTTTATTTTGCAAATGTTTTGATTTAATAGCAGATTTTTGTAAATTCTTTAATAATATATCTCAATGCACAATTTGGTTCTGCTTTCTTTCATTTTGGAGTGCTGATTTAATTTTTTTTTTGAACTTGTGACCTCCAGTTTATTATGCTTTAGGCCTACCCTCTTGAAAGAAGCCAATACATATGATCTAGATGGACAGATAAATTGTAATATTCATATTAGGGTTATTGATTTGACTAATGCTATGATTTTTATTATTCCACGCTTTTTGAGGTTTCTTTTCTTAATCCAATTGTCCGCTAGAGTCTGCCCAGAGAGTGCTATTGAAGTCTCTTTTTCGTCCTTGGTTTTGTTAAAATATTCTAGTTGTTGTAACAGAACAGCTACATCGAATGCAGAAACATCTGAGCGTAAAATTTAATGTTCCACAATGTAAACATGAAAGTAATAAGTTTAATGTTTCACAACGTACGGATGAGGGATTGATTTACCAGACCCACAAAAACCACAAAATTGCTAAATAAAAATAAAGTAAAAAAAGAAAGAAAAAACCTCTTTGATACAAGATTAACTTTTAACTGAAGTATCGATATCTAAGACAAAGCCAAAACCCTGTTAACTCTGCTTGTCAATACTGAAATCCTACGGTAGCTTATACTCTAACAAATCCTATTAGAGATGTAATGTCATTCTTCTTCAATGCCTTCCGAAACCTTAGCTGAGAAGATATGTCTCAGAAATCCGTAGTCTTAGACTAAGAAAACTCTAAAAATTCCTACTCAAATAGTTTCATTCTGAACCTTGGTGGTGCTGAAATACTCTAGGTTGGAGTGTCGGTGCGGGTGGTTCTGTGCATAATGGGTGGTAGAGGCTTAGGTTTTTTATTAGAAGTTTGGGCTTTTCTCTCTCTCCTACATCATGGTGTATTGGGTTTGAGTTTGTTTTCCATATCCATGAATAAACTTCGTTTCATGTCCTGATAACAAGAGTATTTGTATTTAATGGACTTTGCAGCTCTTGGGAGAAAAAAATTAGATGATAAAGTTTGGATTTGATCAAGTCTGAATGTGGCTGTACTTAATTACGCATTCCACTTTTTTTTGCAAATTCCTTTTGCTGTTATTTGTGTGCACACCTTCATAACTATTTGAAAATTCGTGCAGATGTTTTCAGTGGATTATGATGTGCACTATGCGGCTTACGTTGTATTATTTTTTGTTTTTTACTTGTGGGCCTCATCAAAATTTTGATAAATTCTTACATTTTAAGTTAAAGGTCTGGTCATTCTCATCATGTCATTGTGTTTTGCTAAATTTCATTTATTGAATATTTTTGCTCATATTATTGATCAAGGATTTCAAATAGCTTTGTTCGTCCAAATGGTTAGATTAATTGCAAATAATAGGCTTTGCAGATTAGGCGGAATTTTCCTGATAGACTTGGCTTTCATCCATACGAATCTGTTTGGAGCTGTCTTTTGATGGATTCATGACACGGGAGTGTCTTGCTAAAATCATGGGATTGGGGATGATGTGACTCCCATTCGGGAATATTTTGCAATATCACGAAATAAGAGCTTCTGCGATCGTGGGAAGCCCGATCTGAGCATATTTCATCTTGATGCAGTGACGAGGGAATTTCTTGCCTTTTGTATTTATTTCCTATTTATCAGTTTTCCAATCAGGTTATCTCTATTAGGAGATTCTTTTTTTTTTTTTCTGTTTTGGGAGACGTGGAGTTTTTGATTTTATGTATAGTGAAAATTGTAATTTCTGTTTTATACTTTTGGAGTGTTGTATCCTATTCATTTTTCAAGTGTTGTATCTCTAACCTGTTTAGGAATAAGTGGTGAACATCCTCAACATCCGCACTATGTCGTTTCATAATTCTCCTTGTTGTTTTCATCCTGAACAAGCTCCGATTTACGTCTATCCTCGTCCAAACACCGTCAAACTCTCATATTTCATTACCTCGCTATTTCATATCCAGTTCCATTCTATATCCGCTTCCCAAATACCATCTCAGAGCCCTAGAATGGTATCATCTGATATAAGGGTCTGACAAACCCTAAATTTTTTTGGGATTTGTCCTTTTTGCCCTAAATTCAAAATTTAAAATAAAAAATAATAATAATTCCTACAATACCCAAACCATTCCCACCAAACTTCCTAGCCCTAACCCTAAATTTTCAAATTCCAACATTTTTTCCTCCACCAAAATTTAACCCCAACATCTACCACCAAAACCTTAGCCCCGATCATTTTTTGATTTGCAATCCTACAAACGTCGATAACCTGATCAGGAGAAAAGCACATAGTGCCTCCTAGGAGAAATCTACAAAGAACTGTCTATGAGCTTATTATGGTGGATATGTGGCAAAAATTCTCCAAATGCAATAGAAACTTGCCAACTTTGAGAGGAGACAATTTTCTGAGATCATAAGTAGCCATAATGGTGACTCACCAAATCAAGGGGATGAAGTGAATCCTCTCCATAGAGAAGTTTCAAGAGATGAGCAACCAATGCCACATCAGAGAAAAAGTAAAGATTTTAGAGTGAAGATTGACTTGCCAGATTTTGATGGTCACATAGATCAAGAATAATTCATCAAGTGGCCCTAAAAAGTAGAAAAAAAAAATGTTTGAATAAATGTGTTTCATGGGACAAAAGGGTAAAGCAAGCCGTCATTAAGTTAAAGAAGTGCATTTCTGTGGTAGGAAAATTTGAAGCCTCTTCGACAGCTAGAAGGGAAGAATGATATATAGGAGATGCAACACAAAGTTCTTCCCTTGCATTATCTACCATCTGCTTCAAAGAGATTTGTCTGTGGAGGAGTACACTGTTGAATTTGATCCCCATGCTGAAATGTTATTTGTTGGAACCAGAGGTGCTCACAATAGTGAGGTATCTTGGAGGATTGAGATCTACAATTAAGAATGTTGTGAGGCTGCAACTGTATTGACCCCTACTCGATGTACAATTCCTAGCTTTGAAAATGGAGAAAAGTCACCAAGTGATAGCCACACCTTACAGGCAGAGTTCAACACCAAAATTAGGTAGTAAGAGTACACCCAGTTAAACACTCTAGCTGATGTTGACCTCATTTTTTAGGTCATTTCTTTTTCCTTAGGGTCTTAGGATCTAGCTCTAGGAGTTCCTATTGACCATCTTAGAAAACTAGAATTGAGACCCGCCCTTTTACAAATTCTAACCACTTCCTATTTTCCTTTGATGTCTAACATTTATGGCACAAGACCATCATCTTATGAACGAGCGGTTATGGGCTATTTTGTGAAGACTCAAGAGAATAGTTCTCAATAGGACTCCAAGTCTTAGGAAAACATTCGTTACGACTTTTTCGTCACATACACACACAAAATGCACAAAATTCAATGAATTGCACGAAATCAGACTTCAATTAAGCCTAAAGGACGGGTGAAAATGCGAACTTCTCCGGATGACCTCCGACGACAAAATGGATTGCGCCAACGCGTCTGGGATACCAATTTTGGTAGGAAATGACACCCATATTGCCATATTTTTGATACGAGAAAATTGACACGCAAATCGATGAATTCTTCAAAATGACCTCTGACGACAAAACAGACCGCGCCAGTGCGTCCGGAATGTCGAAATTACCTAAGGAGGACACCCATTTTGCTAGGGCGCCGCACATGGATAAATCGCATGAAATTTGATATATATATATATATATACATATACATA